GTGTACGCATGCGCGTTCTTTCACGCTCATGCACAGGATGAAGCGTAGGAGCTAGCCGACCGGTGTGGCGGTCTAAGCTGTCTCCCGGTCTCAGCAGTCCCCCCTGACGTAGCCGGACATTTCAGCACGACACAAGCACGGTCTCGTTGGTCGTCCGTGCTGAGATGTCCGCATGACTAAGTCGCACGGTACTATAAGCGGTGCTATTGTCTTTGGTGTAGGCCTATGTAAAGTACACGTCACGTACAACGTGAAGCACGCGTGGACTGCTCATCATACCAATTAAACGGACGACTTTCCCTTGTTGTGCGCAGAGATGGCATGACGTATTTTTACCATATTTGGTAAGGGGGACCACTGAGACCGGGAGACAGCTGAGACCGCCACACCGGTACTTAACCACCACACAAATCATCGGGAATGAACAGCCTCATTGCCCAACGGTATGATGATAGTAATTGACACTGGTTTTAACTGTTCAAGAGATCTTTGACCATCAGGATCCATCTTGCACTTAGGTTCAAGAGGATGAGAAACAACACCAGTGGCTGGAGTATAGCCAGTAGATCCAGATAGAAATGGCTGACAACTACTCCGGTGACGCTACGCAGACGTTTCTGCTTAACGACATTGAACGACCTATTATTGGCGGGTTGCTTGGCATCATATCCGTGTGCAGCTTTTACGGTAATATTCTAGTCATTACAGCCTTCACTCTCTCCAGGAAACTTCAGAACACCACCAATATATTCGTGGTGAATCTCAGCGTGGCCGATCTGATCACCAGCCTGGGGATCCCGGTCAACGTGGTGGCCATTGCCAGTCCGCGACTCCTGCCCGGCTGGCTGTGCGTCTGGTGCGGCTTCTTCAGCGTGGTCTGCGTCGGCTGCAGTGTCTACACCCTGGCCTGCATCGCCGCCTACCGCCTAAATGTCATATCCAGGAGGCAAAGAGGCTGGACCAAATTCGCCAGAGCCGTCATCATTTCGGTCGTTGTCGGGCTGACATGGATCATTCCTGGAGCGGTGGCAGCGTTACCTTTAGTCTTCGGTCTGGGCGAGTTTGGCTACAACTCTAAATACAGCTCCTGTACGTGGAACTCATACACGCAAACCACCATGTATAGCTTGATTCTGTCAGCCTCATACTACCCAATCCCAATGATCATAATTACCACCTGCTACGCCAAGATATTCTTCATACTTAGAAACGTGAAAAAGCGAGTAAACCAGGAGCCAACTGTGCCAAGCTTGTCATCTGGGGTACTTCGCCCAGCTCAACGAGCTCCGTGCGCAATGGAGAAAAGGCAAGCTACTGTCACCAAGAACATGTTTTACGTAGTGTGCGCATTTTTGTTGTGCATGACTCCGTACTCGGTGGCGTTGGTCACTCCAGGCAGCGACACGTTCATCCCGTACGCAGGTGTCATCTTGATGCTCAGCAGTAGTGTAAACCCGACCATATACGCCACCAAACATCCAGATTTCAGTAAAGTCATGAGGAAAATAGCCACCTGCAAATTCAACCAAATCCCACATAACGTCCTCAAGTAACGGGTTGAAACAACTATACAGTCCTTGGACTGGAAACGAGCGTAATCTTTCGATTAACAGATGTGCAGTTTGGATTTCAGCGAAAATCAAGTTAAATATACGTGTACACTTTACCCCTTAGAAAATTATATAGAATATTAAAAGGAGTTATATCCAGAGAAAATCGTGCCCCGTCTAACGCTGAAATGGTTAATTCTGCAGACACGTAAACGCAATGGAAATACATGTAATTGGAACTACAGATGTTATCCCCAACAAGAAAGTAAGGGAAACTCTTAAAAAGGGATTGAATCATTTGCGAGAGAGATGCTCGTTGAATCATTATGCTCCTCGGCAAAAATATAACAATTAAATAGGAGAGAATAAATTTGAAGGTAAAACAATTCGGATAAAAGCAACGCCCCAAAAAATTCAACAGTGCCTAAGGTATTGTGCACGGGTTCTTGAAACGAGCACTACCGCTATGATGTAAGCATCATAATATGTTATCTAATCCGCACCTCCGTTCCTGCTTTTCCCACAGGGTAAAGTTGACATTTTCGGCTCACAATCTCACCTCCAACCAACTTGAAAAGCTCTATCGTATATATAGCACCTGATACGTGCGTAAATCTGGCAATTTGGCAATACATATCCTTATCAGGGAGATACAGCGTATTAGCTGTCTTCAGAATAGAATTCTTCATGATTACAGACATATTTTACTGTAATTGGTATTACTTATTCGGCAACAATAAAAAAAGGAAAACAAACGAAAAAAAAGGAGACACAGAGATGGAGCAGGGGCACCAAAGTAAAAAATACTGTGGTCCGCAGACCTGCTGCTCAGGAAAGTACAGGAAATGCATGTACAGGCCTAAAATGCAGTCTGTGTGTTCTAGCAAGTCAATATCCAATTTTGAAGTCGTCAGCACAACGGATGTTGACCTGGATATACGAAGACAGTTTAGCTGTCAACAACCTTGTTTAAGCATTTCACCATAAACGACAAAAGCAAGTATTTCTGCATGATTCCAAAGTAAACCAATTCAGATGGAAAGCTTGCGGTAAGCACCATGCAATATCTCTTTTTGAGTCTGGGTGGTTCTGATAAGAAAAAGAGATATTGCATGGTGCTTACCGCAAGCTTTCCATCTTAGTCGTCTGTCACCATTAATAGCTTGAAATCCCATCTAAACCAATTCAACTGATACAATTTGTCCAGATAAGGCATCTCCTTTCTGCGTTGCTTGAGAACAATACGCGTTGCTTTCCTTTGTATGCTAGAGATATGATGTCACTATGGCTCTTTCCCCCAAGTTAAAAACAGTTTCTAGACTGACAGTTAAGAAACAAGGGGATTAAAATAAATCATGGAGGTTTTTGAGTGTGCTTTCGTTTCTTGCGCGTTTTTGGATAAAACCAACTATTAAAAAACTGTTGAAGAGCATGACATGTCTACTGAAACTCAGTACACGGACTGAGACATATTATATGTGAAACTGTGTTACGAAAACATGCATGCTGTAAAGAACCAGGAGAAACGACCCTGAACATCATGCTCTGCTTTGGAACCGTTGCCCATTTGCTTTAATAAAATAAGAAGCAAAAAAGCCTGGCAGCGAAGGGCCTACTCAATTTTTCCTGTTTATTGATACCATTTTTTATTAGATAAATAATATTCGGTGTCTTCACTGCAACTGCAGTAAAGTAAAAACATGCACATTGGATATTCAATAGAAAAAACATAACGGAATAAGCCCGTGACGAGGTGATTCATAGGTTGTCTTTAAAGGGCCTGTATGCAACCTAACTTTTTCAAAGAAATTTTTGAAAAAGCATTTCAATGCCCTATTTAACCATTAAATTGTATTTTGTCATTTAATAGGGTTTTGAAACATTTCTTGTTTTCCTGTTCACTAGGGGTTAGTGTGACTGTACTGGTCTATTGTCTTATTAAGAAAATCCGTATTTTCAGCGCCACCATTTGCCAGAAGTTTTAATATTTTACTGTTTAAATTTTTAATTTTTTTCTGTTCACGGCAATAGTCTGAAAAGTGTAGATAGTTGTATTTGGAGCTTTTCTTTGCCAATTAGTGAAAACTGTATTCAAATTCATGTTTAAGGGCCGAATTCGCTCAACGCTACGATTCCTGTGGCTCACATTAGACTTCAAGTATTCATACTCGTTTTTGCACGCATCCTAAGTTAAAGATATTCTTTATAAATGGTCGTTCAATTCAGCAGTCAGTCAGTAAAGGCTCATACGAATGCGCTTTTATACTTTTGCATTTATATTTCTGTGCATTCATGTTGTGCAATCACTTAACTGGAAAGTAAGATGCTATTAAGACTTCCTTTTATTTTACCTTTTCTGAGTTTCTTATTTTATTTTATTGTTGTTGTATTGCTATTGACTTTTTAATTTTTAAACAAATGAAAACCACTGATTCTTAACATCTTTTGTCTTGGCATTAAAATGTTCTCAATAATTCAACAAAGATGAGCTCTCGTTACTTTGCCTACTTGTCGATCCGCTTCATAACAGGTTTTTCCTTCGATCAGATGCCTTTTTGCTATAGTAGTTGATTTGTTTATGCCGAGAACATCCGAGAGATCAATCTGGCCTTGGACGTTGCCTTCGCAGCGCTTTGATCAAAGATGTACGATGTACGACATTTACAATTCTATGAGCCTTACGGGAGCTTTTATATTGGTTTTGAATCTAGCAATCAAACACGATCAGAACAATGGCAGAATCTTGGAAGAGACTGTTCTAATTTACAACTACCTTCAAACTGGGAACAATAACATATAATGAAATCACGAGGAAAAAATATAAAAAGGAACTTAATTTGATTTCACGTGTCGGCATTTCACATGTTTGCGCATTGGTGAATTCGAACGACTAACTTGTACAGTTGAATGTTACGGCTAATTTGAAAGCCTGAATGCTCACTATTATTATGAATAACAAGCTTGAGAAGCTAAAGGACTAAACATTGAGACTGCACGCTTTTACAATGATCGCATATCAGATAATGAAATTGTGATTTAAACGTGAATTTCAATTGGCAAGTACTGAATGAGCGATTTGCCATCAGTTTAGCTGGTAAATTGGCCTAGCCAAATAATATTTGGCTAGGAAAACCTACCTGTATCTAACAATTGGATCATGTATGTCTGTCTCCATCTTTAAAGGGTAAAGCAATCAGTGTCTTTTAATGCAAACCTTCAAAATGCACCTTTGTGTGGTGTCAGTTGACCTTATTTTCAACTTCTGGTTGACTATTTCAACGGGTATTTTACTGCGTTTTCAGTTTTATGCTAATAAATACTTCCATCTTCATGAGCAAAACTGTGATCTCATCCAAGGAGGAAAGCCAAAATGTTACAGTTCTGCATTTTGGTAGATTTGGGTGGACTAAATTTCTCTTCGGTGCTTATTCACTGTTGTTCATGTGCATAGTAACAGGCAAGCGGAACTGCACAATTTAATAGAAAAATCTATGCACTGAAGTCTGTCTTCCATGGATGATATCACTGTTGTCCCGGAAAGCATGGACAATTTTATATGTTTGAAAAAGTGCACTTTCAATGCATTGAACTAGATATGAATGTGAAAGAGTTCTAAAGAAGAGTACAAAGTTGCAGACAAATAGTGTCTAAGAAATATTCATTGCTACTACACTGAGAAATGGGTGCAGGGAAGATGTTAAAATCAAGGTTACGGTTCTGAAAACCCTATCTGCTAATTTGTTGTGCCTCTCGCACGCACCTGCGTCCGTCAATCAAATCACTGTGTAGGGTATTCAAGTCCTTGCAGTCGGCCTCGCCTTCTTCTTTGACACGATCAAATTACGTTTCTTTTAAGTGTTGTCACCCGTGAACAGGAATTACAGTGTTTTGTTCTGGGGTGCAGACCGCTCATCTCCCACACAGAATATCGATTCCTCACATTATAGGAAAGCCCACGAACCTAGTCAGCCTGAAAATCTTGCCTTGCGAGCACGATCGTTACAAGTATCACAGAATTGGCCGACATTTATAAGGGAATAAACAACTCATTGTAGTTACATGTATTGTGGTGTTTTAATGTTTAATTAATGTATATTCTTAATATAGATTGCTATATATGTATATTTATGTTGTACTGCTGTTGTTTTTTCATTTTTTTTAAGCAGAGCAAGGACCACTTAATTTCCACCATGTATATTGTTTTATATGAGTACGAGTGGCGAATAAACTATGTAATGTGAATAAGAGAGAGTCATTGGACGGCGAAGTTAAAGAGCTCACCCCCACAGGCCCAGAGTGGGAGGAATCTTCGAGGTCATATTTACCCAGACAGTCACTATATGTATATTTCCCTAGGGGTCCAGACTACTAATTCAAACCCCATTGAAAACAGTTTAAAAGCAGTAATGTTCAGGACGCAATAACATGTGCGCCAAAATCCCTGAGATTTCTGAAACACAAATGAAATTCTTCTCCGGTCACTTATCTTTCAATTTCTTTTCAATTTTATGTGGGTTAAGCAATTACATTTTTAATTTTCAATTCAAGTGGCAACTCTCAACTTTCTTGGGCACTTAATTAGGACCATTTTTCAACCGTAGTTTTTAGCCATTCTGCTGTCACATGAAAGCTCAAAGACCCAGGGAGTTGATTCCGGCAACGATTTACACAATCTCATCATTTTGGGGGCCAAACAATCTCCTTTTTCAAAAGATACTGTGAAGGGGGGGGGGCACTTTTAATGCTAATGAGCTGGCCAGAAATTCTCACTTGAATTGAGTGGTCTGCACCCCTAGTGCTCTATCGCTATTCGCTACAACAGGCGCGTTCTTCCTTCTGAGACGCAAGGACGCCCAGCCGAAAGTGGAGAGTACAGGAGGGCCGTTACTGTCTGGCTACCCGTATAAAGTATGACCTTTTTACATAGCGAACAAAAAACAAACAAACAAACAAACAAATAAAAAGAATAGTTCTCATCGTAATTGGGGCAGATACCGTCATCT